TGATAGTAATGATAGTAATAACCATAAGGTGATAGTAAGATGATAGTAATAACCATTCAAAATCTCAAGGGTTCCCTCCTATTCGTCCAATAACTTTTATCAGATTTGTCGTGGCATTAATTTTAGCTGCGGAGATTACCACAGATTATAAAGCTGATGAGTTATGGGAAGATGGTCGATTAATAGCGACAACAAAAGTAAACGAATGTATGTTCATTTCTTACAGAACTGATTTATTAGTATTATTTAATGCTCAGTGATGAATCATCTCGAGAGCTTTTATTTTATAATTTTTCAAATTTCGTGCGATGGTTTCTTTCTGTTAGGGAGGAAATAAATTTGCATAATTATTTCTACACAATGATTGCAGCAATATTGATGAATTGTGGCACAGTGGAGGATGGACGATTGTTCATTTTGGAGGAGAAACCGTTTCTATTTGTGTGAAACTCTCTTGACTTGACAAAGTGAAATCAGGAGAATTGTAAATGTGCAAGTGATAAAGATCGATGTGCAAATGATAAAATAAGAGATTTCTTTTTATCTATAACACTATTTCTGATTTATCTTCCCAAAAATAAATTTTGAAGGAAATCCAATGTATCATTACTACGTCAAATTAAAACTTTAATTTAATATTGCTATTTGAAAATCTTTTAAATAAATAGGAGAGGAGATTTTTATAAAATTACCAAAACTAAAAAAAAGAAAAAGCAAAAACGCCAAAATGAAAGACACCATCAAAGTATGTTTTAATATGTTCTAATTATTTTACAATTTTCATTCATTTATTCAAATCGTTATTAATTTGAAAAATGCGAGGCTAATGTTAGTAGCGTCAAAAATGATACGTAACATGATAGCACATGTAAACTGTGCTGTGAAAAAAGAGTAAGAAGGTGAGGGATATAATATTTTTTTTTTTGAAGGAACGAGGCGAAAAAGGCGAAAGATAAAAAGGGCAAAAAATAAAAATTTAATTTCCAGCGTTCAAAAATAACATTTAATGAACATAGTTAATTTGATAAATGATTATACATTATTATCGTTGAAAAGTAAAACTGGATAATTAAAATGTCATTCTTATCATTGTCTGTCTAAATCAGTTCTTCTTTTGTTGCGCTAGAGAAATGCGGAAAATAGAGCATTGGTCCGCTAATAGATCCAGGATTCCGCAGCGGAAGTATAAAAAGCACTGTTGTCAAGTTTTCAACCATTAATGGTTCTGCCATTCCTTTTTTCTTTCAGTGTTTAAAAAAAATGCTCCTGGACACTGTGTCTATCAATAAAGATTTCCTGACTATCTTCAAAACATGTTCGCTCTTACAGACATATTGTTCAAGAATAAATTCACCGTATTATAATGAATTATAAGATTAACATGCCGACTACTTATCCTGGTAACACGCCGGTAACTTGCCGGATGATATTTACCTGACCATTATTGTACCATGTGAAGTGAGAGCTTGAATTCAATAACGAAAGCTGATTTAAATGTTAATTTTTCGAAGTCTTTTGCAGCTGTTGTTTTTCTGAATGTCATAAAATAGATCTGAGGTATTTTCCAAATACGAAAAGGTTCCAGAAGATAAGTGTGGCAGGTTTTTATTGAAACGATTTCTGAGAATATTAATTGATTAGAGCTTGAAAATCTATTAACCGTAAAAAGAAATAAAAATCTGTTAATAAAATGTGGAATTTTCCAAATTTCCACTTCCTGCACACTTCTCATTTTTAATGTTTTAGAAAATGTCACTAAGCTTTAATTAGGATTCTTTTTAAAATGGCTGTTATTTTTTAATAAAGTAAAACTTGTCTTTAGAAAACATCGAAATTATTATACAAACGATCTTAAATATGGCAAAGTTAATAGTATATATTGCTTTTATCATTTATTGCCAAGCTGCCAACCAAAACCAAGCTAGAAATGCAGCAGCACCTGCGCAAGGAGCAGATGCAAGAGCAGCAGCTGCGAGAGTTGGAGCAGTAGGTATGCATCTCACTTTTTTTTTCACTTAATTTGTCTAACCAAAAAAGAAAATATAAATTAAGCTATGTATATAAGATGATAGTAATAACCATTC